AAAGTGGTCTCGGCACATATAAGAATCAACCAATAAATGCAGAAATAAAATAAAAAATCTTTTTTTTAAAAAAAAAGGAAACAAGTTACAGAGGCAAAGAGTCCTCAGAGTCAGGTTCAAGGGGGTTAGCCCGGGATGAGCTGCCGCTGCCCAATGATGCTCTGGTTGCAAGTCTCGTGAGGACCCTTAGAGTTTAGAAGAAAGCAGAAGCACACGCCTGAGGAAAGGAGGGTGGGGTGGGAGAGAGAGAGAGAGAGAGAGAGAGAGAGAGAGAGAGAGAGAGCGCGCTGTGTCCCTTTCCTTAAAAGTTTTTTCTCTCTTCTAAAGGTGGGGGATTTTAGGGGAGGTCTCAACAGAATTTTCAACAGCTTTCCAGGTGTGTCCATGCTGATATATCAAAATCGGTGTAGAGATAGGGGAATTTGGGATAATCCTCTGGTCAGTTTCACTGCTTTACTTTTACCTTGGGTCTGTCTGGATCTAATTGGGCTTTTTTCTTTATTCCCGACTTCATCACCTCTGGGGTTTGGCTGGCACTAATGGCATCAACTGGGTCTGTTATCTATCTCCCTGACCAGGGATTTAAGATACTCACTCACTCTGTGGTTGGGCAAGAGAGGTATAAACCATCTGCTCTTAGGTGTCCTTGATTAGGGAAGGTAAGAGCTTACAATTTATTAGCAAGTTAATTGCTCGGCTTTGTTTAACTATTTTGTCTCAGGTTCCCTCATTCCATTCGCCAAGGAATTTTCCTAGCTTCTTACTATTCTGCCTCAACACTACAAGTAGAAGGCAGTGAAAGATGGGGGGTAAATGCCATGACACTTCCAAAAGGAAGTGGAGTCAGAATCTGGCACCATAAAACGAAAAAATGGAAACACATAAAATCCCAAGAACTACCACTTGGCCCATGTCCTAGTCCAGTGATGACGAACCTTTTGAACTCGGCGTGTCAGCATTTTGAAAAACCCTAACTTAACTCTGGTGCCGTGTCACATATAGAAATTTTTTGATATCTGCAACCATAGTAAAACAAAGACTTATATTTTTGATATTTAAATGCCATTTAACAAAGAAAAATCAACCAAAAAAATGAGTTCGCGTGTCACCTCTGACACGCGTGTCATAGGTTCGCCATCACTGTGACCTAGTCTGTCTCTGCCTGAATAAAACTTGCTTTCATTCTCATTTGACTTGTTCTTGGCTTTTGGAAGATGGCGGCGGTATAGGCAGACGCGTCCCAGGTCGTGTCCCTGAGCAAATGGAGTGAGCAGCTGAAACTAGTAACATCCACCCCGAATTGGCGAAATTCCTCAGCTGGCGAGACGGTTTGCAGCTGGGAAGAGCAGAACTCCCCTGGAAAGGTAAAAAAACCAGGGATTTGGGCAGGAAAGTTTGCCACACCTCTGAGCCCAGAGAGTCGGAGGGAGACCGCGTGGCAGACAGCCGCGTCCCTTGGGACAGGCACAGCCCCTGACGGGGGAAAGGAGAACTGCGGGATTCCTGGCGCCGCCGGGGGAATTGAGAGCTGGGTCTGTGATCACAGAGGACTGAGCCTAAAGGGGGCAGCCTGAAGAGCTGACCAGACCATGCAGTCCCGGTAAGAGAAGAAGCTTACAGAAACCAAGCCTTCCCCGTTTCCGCGGCCGGCGTTTGTTTGTTTGTTTTCACTGAACCCTGTTCATGGGACATTTCGGATACAGACACTCACCTGTGCTGAAGAGAGGGAGAGTGTGCGGAGGAGTAGAATCTGGGGAGAGACTGAGGAGAGAAGGGGGGCCGGGAGAGGCGGCAGCGAATTGAGTGCTGAGACACACCTGAGCCCAGGACTGAGGCAGCCATTCTCTCTGGAGAGTGAGACTCCTCCCCCCAGCCCCCAGGCAAGGAGCACAGCCACACCCAGATTCCACCCTGTAGGAGATCAAGGATTAAAATAACCTGATCAGTCCCTGGGAGTTAACAGGGTCTGGCCTATAGAGGGATTTTCAATCCCAGCAACAACACAGCACTGGTAACTCTTATGCAGCCAGCTCTGGGCAGTGAACTTCCACTGGACAGAGAGGCCCTGTAGCCTCAGAGGCCAACCCCAGAACACTGCCACCCAGAGGCTGACCCACAAACTGACTCTTTGCTAAACACAAAATAAGGCAGTCTGGGAAACAAATGCGGCTTGCTTTAAAATAAGGACTGTGGTTTACAACACAGAGGAACAGTGTATCGCAGGGAAACTCAACACTCTCCTGAATACCTGGCAGGTCTAAGGCGAGCCACACTGAAGAATAGAAGAACCGAAGGACCTTCACTACTGCAATATTTTTTTTTTCTTTTTTCACCTTTTAACTAAGAAACCAATTTTTTTTCTCTTTTTTTTCTTTTCTTCTTCTTTTTTTTCTTTTTTTTTTCTTCTTTTTTCCATCACCTGATTTTACCCTTTTAATTACTACCTTCTTATTTTTAACCAGTATTATTACTGCTACCATTTTACCATTTTTTTTTTAAAGTGCCATTTTATTTTCTCTTTATTTTATTTTGGGATTAGTGTTCTCCATTCTATTTTCATCGTTATATTATTGGTTGTTTCTAGTTTGCATTCATCTCCAGGGAGCTGTTGCTGGAATTTGTTGGGATTAATGGCTGTTCTATAGGAGTATTCTCCTCATATAAAAAAGTCTCTTCCCCTCTTCCACTTCATTCTCTCTTTTCGCGCTTTTTTTTTCTTTTCTTTTCTTTTCTCGCTTTTATTTTCCCCCCTCCTTTTTCCCAATTTCATTTTTGCACTCCTTTTTTTGGTCCCTAATTTTCTTTTCTTTTTTCTCTTTTCTCTTTTTCTCTTCCTTCTTCCTTATCCCCTAATTCTCTTAATTCAGGTGGTCACCTTTATTTGGGGTTATTCATATCGTGAATATATTTGTGTATAGTGCCTGGTACGTGGTGCCTTGTTGTGTTGTATTTTGTGCCTTTAAATCAACGCAGCAGATACAAGCAACAGCAACCTCCTGAGCACCACACCCTCTGCTGAGGAACAGCAGCTGTACGTGAAACCTTGCTCCACCAGCCAGAAGAGCCACCACAGCTGTGAACAGCACCCACCAGAGGAGCTGCTGCCAACTGAAGAGCAGCTGCTACCGCAACCGCCCGAAGAGCAACCACAGACCAAGGAGTCACTGCCACCAAGGGAGCAGCCACTGAACGACTCAACGTCTAGATATGTCAGCGAGATCAAACATGGGTAGACAAAGAAACCCCCAAAGGAAAGAGAAGGAGGACTCTCCAGAAAAGCAGCTAAGTAATACAGAGGCATGCAACATGACAGAAAAAGAATTCAGAATAAGGGTCCTAGAGTGCATAAACCGGATGGAGGAAAAAATCATTCTCATTTGACTTGTTCTTGAAATTTTTCTTGCACAAATCAAGAACCTGAAGGTGGGCTGACACACAAAAGGTCCCAAAGCATGCTAGGGCAGAGCCATCACCGACTCAGAACTGATCTGATGACAGAATCGTAATTTCTGTAGAAATCTGCATATGCCTTTCTTGATTCGGCAAAAATAGAAAGCTACAGCCCCTAGGGAAAGAATGATCCCCCCAACAATATGAAATTACAGACCCTGGTTCAAAGGCCAAACATCTGAGGTTTCATTAAAGCACTGAAAGTCATGGTAATTAACATTCTCAACACCAACATCTTTCCTGATGACGATACGGACTGTGCTCCACCAGCACCAGGTGCATTAAAAAAATCTGTATTTTAATACTTTAAAATAGTGTCTCATCTTCAGATCCTATGGGCTATTAAAAGATGAAATCCAGGAGCATTTTCTAATATATGTATGTTTTCTTAATACTTAGGGGGAAATTGTCATCAGTACATTTCTCTGCAAACAGACCTGCCCTTAGCAACAACAAAGAAGTAGCTTTGTTTCTTTTTCTCTTAAGTTGCTGGTACACAAATTAAATGAGTATAGCCAGTGGCTCAAGGGAGTGTTGGTAGCAACCTGCTGGCCAGATTCTAATACTGTTATTAACTAAGCCAAGCAGCCCAATGCTAACTCCACCCCTTCCAAATAATTCCCAAATAGCAAAGAACTCGGTCTGAGCAGCTTATAAACACAAAGCCATAAATAAACTTGTCTAAATCAATAATTAAGGAGGAGATTGAGTGGAGTAAACAGAGGAAAGAGTTAATAGATGATAAAATTATTTGAATGGCTATCAAGTGAGGAATATAATCCAAAGATAGGAATGTGACCCAACTTGCACCAGAGTACACTTCTGGGACTTTATCCATGCTCTTATTTCTCCCCCATCCCTCCTAGCCCCACTTAGATGAAGAGTTCTGATAACCACATTTGAATCCCTGAGGCCAACTCTACATTGGATTTTTCAGTGACATGAATCAATAAATCCTTTATGTGTGTGTGTGAAGGGGAGGTAGTAATTAAGCTCAGATTGGCTTTCCCTAGTAATTTGGAGCTCTATCATGGTTACTACAATAAAAAAAGAAGTATGCAATTTATCTACTTAAACTATTAAAAATTTAAAGATTTGTTTTATGTGACTGTAAAGATCAGTTATCATTATAAAATATAAGCAAAATGCAAACACGTTACCTGCTTTACTCTAGAAAAATCTAGCCATTCACACCAGTTATTTTACTCAAAGACTTAACATTTCCTTTTAAAACATCCATCCAAAAAGATCCAAAATACTAACCAAAGGTTAAAAAACATGTCACATAATTAATTGGGACAATGAAGTCCTCAACTTGTTTCCTTAGAAACATAATCTGTGATGGAAGGAGACTCAGCTTGGGGTGGTGCACACACAATATACAGACGATGTATTATAGAATTATACACCTGAAACCTATATAATGTTATGAACCAGTGTCACCCAATAAAAATAAACGTCTTACCTGAAATCAAATAATATTGAATGTCAACTGTAATTGAAAATCTTAAAAATACATTTAAAAAAGAAACACTCTTCCTCTCATCTCATTTTCTCTTTTGCGTTCCAATTTTATTGAATTCTTGTTCTTAAGTTTTTCTATAAACATGAAGCAAATGTACAAAATTCCCTTCTGTCCCATGAACTACATTTTCTTCGAGGTGAGTCCTAAGTCTGGTGTTCTCTGGGGTACAGTGTTCCTCAGTGTGGACCATAGACCGAGACCATCCACATTATCAGGAAGCTTGGTTGAAATGCAAATTATCGGGTCCCATTTCAGACCAAATGAATCAGCATCTCTAAGGATGGGATCCAGGGATTTGTACCAATGATTTTTAGGCACACTCAATTTTTAAAGCCACTGCTTGCTGGAGTATACTTACAGTTACCACATTGTTTCCTTTTATCTTGTTCCTGCTTAACCTAGGCAACAGAAGACATTCTGTAAGTCTTGATTGAGAGTGGGTGACATAAGACTCATCCCACAGTAGGCGAGACCAGTTTATACTTTTCTTCGGGATCCTGTTCAGAGCTAAACCTATTTCTATTTGCTTCTCAGCAGCCAAGAGAAAAGGAGCCAGGGACTGTGAAGAAAAAACCTCAGCTGAAATTTTAAAAAATATCTGAACTTTGTTCTATCTTCTAGAACTGTTAAATTGTCTATACCAGTCTAGAGGAAAACACCCTCACTTTATCTCTCTCCAGATTTAGAGATAACAGTATGACTCTCAGGAATTGTGGAGGTTGGGGGTAAAGATGAGCAATGGCTCCTTTTTGCTCCACCCCCAGCACAGAAGCCACCAGAGCTGATAGCTCAGCAACACAGAAGCACAGTAGACTGCAGACTCAAGAAGTAGTTTAAGATCCAAGAATGGTAGGAGTTGAGTGCCAGACTTTGGGTTAGCACTGGTTGGTTTAAGAAGTCATTATAGCCCTAGCCGGTTTGGTTCAGTGGATATTCAGCCTGCAGACCAATGGGTCCCGGGTTTGATTCCAGTCAAGGGCACGTACCTTGGCTGCAGGCCCCTCCCCAGCCTGGGCCCTGGTCGGGGCTCGTGCAGGAGGCAACCAATCGATGCGTATCTCACACATCGATGTTTCTCTTGTCTTCCCCTCTCTCTTTCACTCTTCCTAAAAAAAAAAAAAAAAAATCAATGGAAAAAATATCCTCGGGTGAGGATTAACAAAAACAAAACAAACAAACAAACAAACAAAGTCACTATAAATAAACATTATTTGAGGACACAAATTTTTACAACATAAAGTTTTCCAAATACAGTTAACATATAAAGTGCTCTAGCATAGATTTAATTACACAACAGAGGGGTTACTTTCACACGAGCTTAATAAAAGTTTATTTTCACAATGTTTGAGAGGTAAGCCCCAAACTTTGTAATCCCTCACATTTCTCTCACAAGATTTTTTAAAAGCTTTAAAATTAAATATCAAATCATGCTTTAAAATTCTGTAGGCTATTTTTAAATCTAAATTTAAAATTATGACAATGATAAAATGCCAACAAAGTCCCAACTAAAAACGTTCAAACTAAGAATTACCATTAGGATCCTGTTTTATTTTGATAGTGGTTAAGGTTGATCAACTGCTGTTGTTGATGTTAGTGCCATAAGTAAATACCACATGTATATTCTGAAAACATATCTGTCTTGCACATCTTGATACTGAGGTATATAGCCATGTTTTACCAACTTTTTTTATTAATCTAACAATTTCTGCCACAATAGTAACTGTGGTGAAAACCCCCAATGACATTAGCAAACGTGCTATCAGGTTCTATGGTCTTCTAATTAATATAGTACATACACATTTATAAACTACAGAGCCACACTTATTTGCAAGCAATAAATTCTGAAATGTTAGGAATAAAACTATATTATAAATAGCTTCATTTAAACTTTCCCTTCTCCCTTAAATTTGTCTTTTTATATTCATTCTTTCCATTTTCACTAAACCCCATTAAATCCTAGATTTAAATATGGCCAAAGATAAAACAACAATATTGAGATGAATATCAACAAAATAGCTGAGTTTTATCATAGTGTGAACTACCTAAAGCTATTCTCTAAAAGACAATTTATCCACCCAGGGAAAACATGGAAAAAGTTAGAATCAAATTTTCCGTTTCTTCATGATTGATCCGCCAGATACAGTACATGGGAACATTTCCAAGGCTCCAGGTTGAAAAGTCTAAATACCAAAAGATTAACTGTCACTAGTGGAATGTCCATCAGCTAAAGAAAGACCCTGGACATACTCAACAATGTGTTCAACTTATAGAAGATAGGAAGTTTGAGCTGGTAAAAATCAAGTTAAGGCTTTAGCCCTAGTTGAAAATAACAAAATGTTATTACACCCAAATAATAAAAATCTGTAACTCCCCAGGTTAAACTGAATGAAATTAGGTTAACAGTCTGCAGTCTTAATGAAAAGAATAAGCCATTTTAACCAATTTTCTGCAGGCTAACTTCCTATCACCATGTCCCACCTCGAGGCTGTCACATCATGATCATTACCAGACATGCGTTCAACAAAAAAAATATTCAACGATAAAGTAAACAGTTGTGCTAAGTGTTTGTTTGGTGGGCCCAATATTGAATTATCTCCCAATTTTTCCATAAATCCCTTTACTTCCACTAACACTTTTATTCCTATATGGAGGCTGAAGTATGTTATGACTGTTGCTATATGACCTTTTTTCTACATCATGGTCCTACTTCTGCTAAATTACTCTTACAATCTTTTTAGAACTCTGAAAAGATATTAAACTCACTGAATAAAAAAATTTTCAATTTTGTACCTCAAATATAATAAAATTCTGATGTTAGGCAAGTTAAATTAGACAAGTGATCTCCATCCGTCTAATATTAATGTTGTAAAGAAGTTCAACTAAACTTTCTTTAGTGAGATGAGTTTCAATTACCCTAAAAATGGTAAATGATCTATTATTTGTTGTGAATCTAAAGTGTATCCCTAATGAAATTATCTGTAAGTCAAAAACAAAAATTTAAACAGACGACGGTTAAATATAATGTTAACAGGTACGCTGGGCAATAAATTCAAAGTTTTTATTTAACTTATATCTGCTTATTTTTTATTGAATTAAGTATAAAGGCCCAGTTAATCAATTTATTAGATTGGTCAAGGCAAGACACTTAAACTATAACAGAATTTTAAAAGCGGTTGGTCTTTTAGTTGTTTCTCTGGTATTCACACACGTGTGCACACATACACACACACAAACTGTTAGAGAATTTTGCATATAGGATCTCCCCCCATAATTTTGTATAATTAACTATTCAAAATCTGCAGTATTTTGAAACCTATATAAGTAGAACATAACCAAATTAGAGATGTCTGATAAACTCTTATAAAGGGAGAACTTCAGCTTATTCCCAAAAAGATAAATTCTAAACAAAAAAGGAAAATTCATATAAAATCACAACAGATTTAACAGACATCCTTGAAAAAAAATCAAATTCTAACTCATTTTGCAATTTTTTCAAATATGACTAAGGAAAAATGGTACAAGTAGTAATGTTTACATTTTTAGAAAACTATTAACTCAGTGGATTGGGAGGAGAAAAATTACTATACAGTATTATTGCACTCCACGAATGTGCAGAATTCCAAAATGTGCCAGCACTAAAAACTGTCTTCCATTGAGGTTTTCCAAGAGGTACAACGAGCCTGCTAAGAAACATCTGGTCTGTACTAACAGCTTGCTGTCTTCAGTACAGGCCTTCATAATGTCAGTCACGCTGCTCTTGCAAAAATCCCGTAATGTCTGAAAGACACATAGGAAAAAGAATATTTTATTTCAAACTTCACTCATAAAATAAACTCCTTTATCAGAAAAGAACTGAGAACATCTCTGCTAAGCAAAAGTTAACACCTCACCACATTCACACATATTTGCTTATAAATTTTCTATCTTGAGCATGCTAAAAGAATTTTTATACTCTTAGGAACTAGTTATTTAAAGGTAGGGAGAGAATCAATCCTATCTAATAAAAGAGAAACATGGTAATTAGCTGTACCTCTACTACCCTTCCCATCGGCTAATCAGGGTGATATGCAAATTAACTGCCAGCCAAGATGGCGGCTGGCAGCCAGGCAACTTGAAGAGAACATGAGGCTTGCTTGCTTCAGTGACAGAGGAAGCCAAAGTTCCCTGCCTGCCGCTGCCGGCCTCTGAGTTTGCAGTTTGAAACATTGTTACAAATATAGAAGCTAAACAAAACCCCAGAAACCTGCTTTCAGCCAGCCGGGATCTCAGAGCTGGAGTTGAAACAGTGTATCGATTATAGAACCCAAACAAACCAGATACCTGCTTTCAGCAGCTGAGGCCTAAGAGCTGGAGCCAAGCCTCAGAGCTAAAGCTGGCCCAGAATAAAAAACAAAAAAAAAAAAAAAAAAAAGGAGTGGTTGGGAGCTTCACTCACCCGCCAGCCTGAAAACAGCCCTCAGCCCTCTCACCCAGACTGGCCAGGCACCCCAGTGGGGACCCCCACCCTGAAGGGTGTATGACCAGCTGCAAACAGCATCAGCCCCTCACCCAAGCTGGCCAGGCACCCCAGTGGGGACCCCCACCCTGATCCAGGACACCCTTAGGGCAAACCAGCCAGCCCCCACCCATGCACCAGGCCTCTCTCCTATATAGTAAAAGGGTAATATGCCTCCCAGCACCGGGATCAGTGGAGCCGTGAGGCCTCCCGGCACCAGGATCAGCGTGACAGGGGGCAGCGCCCAAACCCCGATTGCCCTGCGGCTCTGTGTGTGACAGGGTGCGGCGCCCCAACCCCCTGATCGGCCCTGCTGTGTGTGTGATGGGGTAGAACCATAACCTCCCCATCGGCCCTGCCCTGAGTGTGACAGTGGCGGTGCCCCAACCCCCTGATCGGCCCTGCTCTGTGGCTGATAGAGGGCGGCGCCCCAACCACCCCCCACGGGCCCTGCTCTGTGTGTGACGGGGTAGAACTATAACCTCCCCATCGGCCCTGCCCTGAGTGTGACAGGGTGCGACGCCCCAACCCCCTGATCGGCCCTGCTCTGTGGCTGATAGAGGGCAGCGCCCCAACCGCCCCCACGGGCCCTGCTCTGTGTGTGACAGGGTAGAACTATAACCTCCCCATCGGCCCTGCCCTGAGTGTGACAGGGTGTGACGCCCCAACCCCCTGATCGGCCCTGCTCTGTGTGTGACAGGGGGCAGTGCCCCAACTCCCCTATCAGCCCTACTCTGTGCGTGACAGGAGGGAGCTCCCCAACCCCCTGAGGAACCCTGCTCTGTGCGTGACAGGGGGCAGCGCCCCAACCCCTGATTGGCCCTGCTCTGTGCGTGACAGGGGGTGGCGCCGCAACCTCCCCATCAACCCTGCCTTGAGTGTGACAGGGGGCAGTGCCCCAACCCTCCAATCAGCCCTACCCTGAGCGTGACTGAGGGTGGCATCACAACCTCCCAATCCGCCCTGCTCTGTGCATGACAGGGGGCGGTGCCCCAATTCCCCAATCGGCCCTGCTCTGAGCCCAACCAGGAGCTGCACCTAGGGATTAGGCCTGCCCTCTGCCACCCAGGAGCAGTCCTAAGCCAGCAGGTCGTTATCTTCCGAGGGGTCCCAGACTGCGAGAGGGCACAGGCCGGGCTGAGGGACCCTCCTTCCCCCGCGAGTGCACAAATTTTTGTGCACCGGGCCTCTAGTATATATATAAAAGCCTTAAGCGATTATTCCAAGCAAATGACTGGTCAACCAGTCTCTATGACGCGCACCAACCACCAGGGGGCAGACGTTCAATGCAGGAGTTGCCCCCTGGTGGTCAGTGCATTCCCACAGCCAGTCAACCTCCCCCGGCCGCTCCCCCTGGCCAGCAAACTTCCTGTGGTCCCTCCCCCTGTCCCTCCCCTCCCCCTGGTCCAGCAGCCAGCAGGCCCCAGCTGGCCCAGCCCCAATCAAGACTGGGCAAGACAGCCCAGATAGAACCTGATTGCTGGCCAGGCCTAAGGGACCCCACCTGTGCACATCATGCACTGGGCCTCTAGTATGTATATAAGCAAATAGTATAATATATCAATTCTGGCCATTAGAAGTTCATAGTCAAAAAAATAATATTATAAGCTCAATTATTAAGCCTTGAAGATAACTTAATATAACCTTACTTGATCTTTTCTAAATTTTAATGAAGAAAACATCCATCTGTTAAATCCCAAGTTGAAAACCTAAGTGATAATATATGTAATATCTAGTATCTTACTGATTCCTGATGTGAGTAAACTGATATCTATACATAGTTCTTATATTTTAAACTACTTACAAAAGAGTTTTCAGTGCTGATAGGTGGGGCTATGATCGATGATGTGGGATTGAATCCATATGGACATTGAGCTTCATTTCATTGTCAAGAATTTGAACAAGCTGTTGCATGGATGGAAGATGACCAGATTCCAGCTTAGACCATACAGGTACATCTATAAAAATAAATGGTACCAGCCCTCAAAATTAAAGATGATTCTGTAATAAACATTCACTCCACAAATATTTATTGTCTATGTACACAGCTGGGAATAAAAAAGTGAGCAAAAGAATTAGGCTTCTTGCTCTTAAGGAATTTACATTCTAGTAGGAGAATTGAAAAAACTATACAAATAGCTACAAAATCACAATTGTGTACTAAGAATTAAAACTAGAAGATGCTATGAGAGGGAGACCTGAGAGGCTGGAAAGGAGCTGTTACACTTAGTTTGTTTGGTTAATCTTCACCCGAGGATATTTTTTCCACCAATTTTTAAGGAGAGTGGAAGAGAGAGGAAAAGACAGAGAGAAACATCGATGTGAGAAAAACACATCGACTGGTTGCCTCCTGCATGAGCTCCAACCTGGGCCCGGGCCAGGGAGGAGCCTGCAACCAAGATACATGCCCTTGACCAAATCGACTCTGGGACCCTTTGGTCTACAGGCTGACATTCTATCCACTGAGATAACCTGGCTAGGGTGCACCTACTATTATTAAAAGGAGAGATTATAATTAAAAGTGAGAGCTGAGCCCTGGCCAGTTGTATCCAGTGGTTAGAGCATAAGCCCGAGGACCAAAGTGTCATGGGTTCAAGTCAAGGGTGTGTATCTCAGTTGCAGGTTCTCTAGCCATGGTGGGAGCACATGCTGGAGGCAGCCAATTGATGTGTCTCTCTCTCCCTCTCCTCCCTCCCTTCCACTCTCTATGGAAACCAATGGAAAAAATATCCTCAAGTGAGGATAAAAAAAAAAAGTGACAGCTGAAATATAGAATAGTAGTATAAGGGAGGCTGGAGAGGTAGGCAGGAACTAAATCAGGGATCAACAAATTGCAAAGGGACAGATAGTAAGCATTTTCAGTTCGAAAAGGTATACAATCTGTCACAGCTACTCAAGTCTCCTAGTGGCTTGAAAGCATGCATATATGAATAGGCATGGCTGTGTTCCACTAAGACTTTGTTTACAAAACATGCAGCATAGGATATGGTCCACAAAGTCTTGGTTTGCTGATCCCTAGGCTATATCATACAGGGCCTTTTTGCCATCCACATTAAATGTTCTGGTCTTTATCTTGAGAACAAAGTAAAGACAGTTAATGCATTTGAGGCAGTGAAGCAAGAAGATGAAATGTGCATTTTTAAAAATCACCCTATTTGGAGGTGTCAGCCAATCTATATAATAAAAGCCTAAGCAACCATTAAGGTGGAATGACCGGTGGCTATGATGCACACTGACCCCCAGGGAACAGATGCTCAACGCAGGAGCTGCCCCCTGGTGGTCAGTGCACTCCCACAGTGGGAGCGCCACTCAGCTGGAAGCCGGGCTCACAGCTGGCAAGTGCAGTGGCAGTGGAGGGACCCTCTCCCGTCTCTGCAGCAGTGCTAAGGAGCAGCGAGCCGAGCAGTAAGAAACAGCGAGCAAGCAGGCAGTAAGGAGCGAGGCGTCCTAGACTGCAAGAGGGATTCCAGACTGCGAGAGGGATGTCTGCCGAGGAACCCCCATTCCTCCAGTGCATGAATTTCGTGCACCAGAGCCTCTAGTTTTTCTATAAGAAACCAGATAGTAAATATTTTCTGCTTTATGGATCAAGAGGCAAAATCAAGGATATTATATAGGTACTTATATAACTAGAGAGATAAATTTAAATTTCTAATGTTTTTCATTGATGAAACTCAAAACTTTAGGTATAACACTAATTTGAATTTCATATAATTTCTGTGTATCATAAATATTCCTGTGATATTTTTAAAGAATTAGAATGTATAAAAATTATTGTTACCTTGAAATATAGGCCATATTTGCTAACCTCTGGTTTAGAGAATGTATTAGAGGGGAATAAGGTAATTGTGGCTTAGACTAGAGTGGTGCCAATGAAGATAAAGAGATGGAGGACCTAAGGACGGGGACTGATTTTTGAGACATGTAAAAGGTGGCACTGAGAAAACTTGGTAATCCATTAGGGTACAGAGAGTAAGGGCGAAGTGATTTTACCCTAGGTTTCTGACATGGGCAATTGGATGAAATGATAATAGTGCCATTAAATAAATGAGAAATGCCAGGGAAAGAACAAATTGGAATATACAGGAATTACAGGAAGCAGAAGTAATCAAGAGTTTGGGAATAGAAGTTTAAGATTCTGGGTGTAGCATCTAGATGAAAGATCTAGAACTCTGTAGAGCTATACATTCAGGGGTCATCACACAGATGTTATTTTTTTACATATGTTTTTATTGATTTTTTTTTTTTAGAGAGAGAGGAAGGGAGAGATAGAGAAGAGAGAAACATCAATTGGCTGCCTCCTGCATACCTCCTTCTGGGGATTGAGCCCACAACCCAGGCATGTGCCCTGACTGGGAATCAAACCAGAGACTCTTGGTGCATGGGATGACACTCAATCCACTGAGCCATGCTGGCAAGGCCAGATGTAATTTTAATGCCATGATAGTAGATGAGGCCATATAAAGAGATAATTTAGCATACTATGAGAACTAGAAAAGCCTGATGCTCACTATAAATCACCTAAAATTTATCACAGAATGTAAACTATTCAGAACTCACCGTTCAAAGTTATTTCAAATGCACCTGTTGACATACACTGGTTCTCAATCATGTTGCTCAAGAAGAAAACCATCATACATGCATAGACCTAAAAGATAATATAATTAAGTACAATATGCATGACAACTTAAGACATAGTAACCTTTAAGTAGTATCCTTATTTTTGGTAATTGCTATTTTTAATTCTACTTTAAAAGTTTCTATACAGACTTTAAGTAGTATCCTTATTTTTGGTAACTGCTATTTTTAATTCTACTTTAAAAGTTTCTACACAGACTACTAATGCGATATCCCATAAGTTCAATAATACACACAAAAACATAAAAATGCAATATTAATTCACAGCTCCATACATGATAAAGAACTTATATATGATAAGTTACATATATATGGTATATATCATAATATATATGATATATACATGTATATATATATACACATATATATATCATATATATGTGTATATATTAAGGTAGAGGCAGAATTTCTAGAGATCTCTTAATAGCCTTAGTAAGTTTAACAAAAGAATACCAGCATGCCCTAACCAGTTTGGCTCAGTGGACAGAGCGTCGGCCTGGGGACTGAATGGTCCCAGGTTCGATTCTGGTCAAGGGCATGTACCGTGGTTGCGGGCACATCCCCAGTAAGAGGCGTGCAGAATGCAGCTGATCGATGTTTCTCTCTTATCAATGTTTCTAACTCTCTATCCCTCTCCCTTCCTCTCTGTAAAAAATCAATAAAATATATTTTAAAAAAAAGAATACCAGCGTAAGAAGGGTTCATTTTATCATTTTTATAATATAATGAATAAATTCACAAGAGACTACTGATGCAACAATCAGCAACTCCATGTTTTCAACACAACATGTCCACGTTCCAAACAAATCATTTTAAGTGAAACTGTGAAATATGTATTTGGTCTTCCTCCCAGGTTATAGCACAGAGCATCTAAAAACCCTTGGAATTTCTAGGGTAATGGGAATGGGAAAAGTGTCTTTTGTTGTGTTAATGAAGTGATTTTTGATCAGTACCTAAGGATGGAGCTGACTACCAGGAAAGAGGAAAGACGGCCAGGTGATTAGAGCATTGGACATTTCCGTTTCAGGGAAAAAAAGAGGGATGGAAGGCCAAATTAGTTGCCAATTGCCAATGATTAAATTATTCATGCTTATGTAATGAAGTCTCCACAAAAACCCAAAAGGACTCAGATTGAAGAGCTTCCAGGTTAGTGAACCTTTATGTAACGATGCAAAAGGAAAAAGATGCAAGCAGAATGGTACACCTGGAGAGGGCATGGATGCTCCCTTCCCATGTATCTTGCCCTATGCATTTCTTCCATCTGGTTGTTTCTGAGATATCCTTTTACAATAAGCAACTAATCTAGTAAGTAAAATGTTTCTTTTGAGCTCTGTGAGCCACTCAAGCAAATTAAACAAACCCATGGAGGTGTCTGTGGGAACTTCCACTCTGTAGCCAGTTGATCAGAAGCACAGGTATCAACCTGGGCTTGCAACTAGCATCTGAATACCATAGTGTGTGTGTGTGTGTGTGTGTGTGTGTGTGTGTGTGTGTGTGTTGGGGGATGGGGGGGAGGCGGGGGGCCAGGAGATGTGTCTTGTTGGACTGAATTCTTAACCTGTGGAATCTGATGTTATCTCCAGGTAGATAAGTGTAAGAATTGAGTTGAATTCTCAGACACCCTGCTGATGTCCAATAACTGGTGTGATGGAAACACACACACACACACACACACACACACACACACACCACGTTTAAATTGGGTCCATGAACCCAAAAGACAAACTAAGAAAAAAGTAGATAAGAAAGCACAGGCATCTATCTATATATATAAAAGCCTAAGCGACCGCTATGACCAAATGACTGGAACGACAGGTCGACAGTTGCTTTAACACACACTGACCACCAGGGGGCAGACGCTCAACACAGGAGCTGCCCCCTGGTGGTCAGTGAACTCCCACAGCCAACCTCCCATGGCCCCTCCCCTCAGCCAGTCAACCTCCCGCAGCCCATCGCTCCAGGCCGGCCAACCTGCCACAGCCACCCCCACCCCCGCTGGCCAACCTCCTGCAGTCCCTCTCCACCCCCAAATAGCCAGCCCCAATAGGCCCCAATCGGGACTGGGTGAGACGCACCGATCACCCCCAATCGCCGTCCAGGCAGAGAGACCCCACACATGCACAAATTCGTGCACCACGCCTCTAGTATTAAATAATGTTCATTTGCCTTTGAATGCAAATCTTTACCCTTCCAAAAGATACAAGAAGCTCCCTGATGGACAGAGAGCTTTTAATTTAACAAAATCACCTGACTAAAAGAAGGATGAGTAAGGATGTCAATTCACAGAAATGTGTTTCAGAATAATAATTCAAAATGTCCATAGCAGGTGAGAAAGAGATTTCTGAGGAGAAACCAAGATGGCGGCATAGGTAAACACCAGGAATTGCTGCCTCCCACAACAAATTCAAAAATACAACTAAAAGACGGAACGGACATCATCCAGAACCACAGGAAGGCTGGCTAAGTGGAAATTCTACAACTAGAAGGAAAGAGAAAAGCATACCGAGACTCAGAGGAGGTGCGGTGTGGAAGTAAAATACAAAGGTATGGAGGTGCATGTGGAGAGGGCTGGTGGCTGATGACATGGTTGTCTTTTTCAATCGGGAGGGAGTCTCAAGCTCTGAGCTCCAGTTCTGGGCGAGTCTCTGGGGACCCAGACTCATGCGGGAGAAACGGGACTGTCCGGCATCGGTTGGAACTAGAGGGCAACTTTCTCTCAAAGGTGCTCGCAGCAATTGCTGGGACACTGAGAAGCAGTGCCTCTGAGGGCAGGACTAAGAGCAGCCATAACTGCTCGCTCCGCCCTATTGATCTCCTGGATCCCGCCCCACCCAAGCCATGCACTGAGGCTTTTGCATATGAAAGGCCCGGCCCTTTGTAATCTGAAAATTACTTTACAAACTGCAGCAGGCCCACAACCCCAGGGCAACTTGCATTGCTTCACAGCTGGTTTCTGCTGAGTAGCCTCAGGAAGAGGCTAGATTAGCACCTCCTTAGAGATCCAGAAGCCAGTTCTCCCACTGCAAACACAGCTGATTCTCACAGCCAATTGGCCTGGAGGTCAATCCCTCCCAGGGTTACCTACAACAATCAGGGCTTAACTACAACAAGACTGCACAAAGCCCACAAGGGGGTGCACCAAGAGAGTCCACCTCAGGTAATTGGGGAGGCTGAGCCACTGGGCCCTATAGGACACTTAGCACAGAGAGCCACTCTATCGACACAGCGAAGCATAAAAAATGCCGAGACAAAGAAACAGGACACGAATGACAGAAATGGAGGAAAGCAAACAACTGGATATAGAGTTCAAAACCACACTTTCAAGGTTTTTCAAGAACTTTCTAGAAACTGCCGATAAATTTAGTTAAGACCCTCAAAAAGTCTGGTGAGACAGCCGATAAATTTAGTGAGATCCTCAAGAAATCTAGTGAGACACCCTTGAAGTTGTGATAAAGGACCAACTAGAAATCAAGCATACACTTACTGAAATAAAGAATATTATACAGACTCCCAACAGCAGACTAGAGGATCACAAGAAGCAAGTCAAGGATTTGAAATACGAAGAAGCAAAAAACACCCAACCGGAAAAGCAAAATGAAAAAAGAATCCAAAAATACGAAGATAGTGTAAGGAGCCTCTGGGACAACTTCAAGTGTATACCAACATCCGAATTATAGGGGTGCCAGAAGAAGCGAGAGAGCAAGATATTGAAAACCTATTTGAAGAAATAATGACAGAAAACTTCCTCTACCTGGTGAAAGAAATAGACTTACAAGTCCAGGAAGCACAGAGAACGCCGAACAAAAGGAATCCAAAGAGGACCACACCAAGACACATCATCATTAAAATGCCAAGAGCAAAAGACAAAGAGAGAATCTTAAAAGAAGCAAGAGAAAGAAACTCAGTTACCTACAAGGGAATACCCATACGACTGTCAGCTGATTTCCTCAACAGAAACTTTGCAGGCCAGAAGGGAGTGGCAAGAAATATTCAAAGTGATGAATACCAAGGACCTACAACCAAGATTATTTTATCCAGCAAAGCTATCATTCAGAATTAAAGGTCAGATAAAGAGCTTTACAGATAAGAAAAAGCTAAAGGAGTTCATCACCACTAAACCAGTATTATAAGAAATGCTGAAAGGTATCCTTTAAGAAGAGGAAGAAGAAAAAGGTTAAGATACAAATTATGAACAACAAATACACATCTATCAACAAGCGAATCTAAAAATCAAGTGAATAAATAATCTGATGAACAGAATAAACTGGTGATTATAATAGAATCAGGGGCATTGAAAGGGAGTGGACCGACTATTCTTGGGGGGGAAAGGGGTGTGCGGGGTGCAGGAAGAGACTTGACAAAAATCGTGCACCTATGAAGGACAACAGTGGGGGCGGGGGTTATGGGGGCGGGGGTTATGAGGGCGGAGGGTGGCAGGGGACCCAGGTGGAGGGGAGCTATGGGGGGAAAAAAAGAAGAACAACTGTAATAATCTGAACAATAAAGATTTAATTTAATTTAAAAACAAAGAAGAGTTTTCCCTGCCCACCTTCCCCTTGAGCTAGGTGCCCTTTGATTTCATAGAAGTTACCCTACCATTTGGAAATAGAAGTCCAGGAAAAGAACACACAAGAAGTGTAATGTAAGCTACAGTTGTCAAGTACATTCATCTTCCACAGTAGATGTCTATAGAGGTAATGCACTGAAGATCTTTTGAAATCAACAGAATAAACATAATAAAATATTATCAAGAAGTACTTAACCTCTAATTCTTAATCCTATGAGAATCGATGTTTTATTAATAACAGGGCAGAGGTAGCACCTGAGGTTCCCTAAGAAGAAAAAAGTACAGCAGGAGTCAGCTAAAGGTAGTCTCAGTCTAGAAGTAAAGAACAAGACCACATAGGACTCCAAAAGGATAATGCTTCTTAGAAGGAAACTTGTGCAATCTCATCAAGAGAGAAAAAAAACTTAGTCCCATTTCTTACAGCAGAAAGGTAGACCCTCCAGAAAATAAGAGTTTAAATAAAACAGATGGAAAGAGATCTACAGAGAATGTATGCTGTGGCAGGACCCTACAAAGAAAAAAAGAAATAGCACAAAGTCTTATGCATATATTGTTTCAGGTAATTTGCTAAACAGATTCCCATGAACAGAAGAATCAAAGGACAAATAATAACGAAGTATGTGTGTAGGTTTTGATAAGAACAATTCAGTAAAATCCCGTTTTTAACATGAATAAAATCATTAATGCTCTAACCAGTTTGGCTCAGTGGATAGAGCATTGGCCTGCGGACTGAATGATCCCAGGTTCAATTCCAGTCAAAGGCATGTACCTTGGTTGCGGGCACATCCCCAGTAGGAATTGTGCAGGAGGCAGCTGAATTGATGTTTCTAGCTCTCTATCCCTCTCCCTCTCCCTTCCTCTCTGTAAAAAATCAATAAAATATATTTTTAAAAAATCATTAATACCCATATCAGTAGGTATTAAAGGCATACATTATGTATATACTAGAGGCCCAGTACACGAATTCGTGCACCAGTGGGATCCCTCGGCCTGGCCTGCAGGATCAGGCCAAAACCAGCTCTCCAGCATCCCCTGAGGGGTCCCAGATTGCAAGAGGGCGCAGGCCAGGCCAACGGACCCAACTCGTGCACGATCAGGGTTGGGGGGAGACATGGGAGGTTGGCCAGCTGGGGAGGGGCCATGGGTGTGCTCCAGGGCATGTCCGGCCCATCTCGCTCAGTCCCAATTAACCGGACCCCAGCAGCAAGCTAACCTACGGGTCATAGTGTCTGGCCCTGTGGTCAGTGCACTTCATAACAACTGGTCAACCGGTTGACTGTCTGCCCCTTAGTGGTCAGTGCACGTCATAGCGAGCAGTTGAGCAGCATATCATTAGCGTATTATGCTTTGATTGGTTGAACAGCCAACTAGTAGACCAGACACTTAGCACATTAGGCTTTTATTATTAGGTCTAGAGGCCCAGTGCACGAATTCATGCATGGGTGAGGTCGGCCGCCCTGGCCCCAATCGGGGTTGATTGGGGCCCGGCCGGTCGGGAGGAGGAGATGGCGGGAGGTTGGCTGGCCGGTCGCCCCAATCAGGGCCCTATCAGGGCCGGGCTGGCTGGGGGAAGGGGTTGAGGGCAACTGGCCGGCGGGGCCCAACCCTGATTGAGGTGGGGGGGCCAATGGGGTGGTCAGCAGCTGGGGGAGGGGCCATGGAAGGTTGGCCAGCCAGCCCCACCCGATTGGGGTGGAGCTGGCTGGGGGGAGGGGCCATGGGCTGATTGGGGTGGTGGGGGCTGATCATGAGCCAGCAGCCTGGGGGAGGGGCCACAGGTCGTTGGCTGGCCGGCCCCACTCCGGATTGGTGGTGGCGGGGGGGGGGGGTCTATCAGGGGTGGAGCTGGCTGGGGGGAGGGGCTGCGGGCCAATCAGGGTGATGGGGGCCCATCGGGGGCAGAGGCCGCAGGAGGTTGGCCGGCCGGCCCCACCCCCTATTGGGGTAGGGGGGAAATCAGGGGTGGAGCCGATTGGGATGGTGAGCAGGGCTGGCCAGGGGAAAGGGCCATGGGGGGTTGGCCGGCCGCTACGCCCTCAATCAGGGTAAAAGAGGCCAATCAGGGGCGGGACTTGGGGGAGGGGCCGCAGGAAGTTGGCTGACCAGCCCCGCCCCACTCCCCGATCGGGCTGGTTCACTGACCGCAGTGGGTATCATAGTGACCAGTTGTTCCAGTCGTTACAGCATTTCTGTCACTGGCTTTTATATATATGTTATGTATATATTATGCTTTGCTGGATATGATTAGCCTAGTTATAGAATCAAAATCAGGTTTTAAATTACTGTGTCCAGTTTCTACTAAAGTAATACTTCCCTATCCTTCAAATAATAAAACAATTTAACCATTCTTACATAAATATGAAAACTAAAGCCAAAAGAGGTTAAGTGCCTTGCCCAGAGATAAAAACTGGTTTAAATTGAAAAAATATATGTAAACAGGTTAATCGGCAATAAGTACTTAAAAAAAAAAAAAGGAAAACTCATTAAAACATATTCACTGACAACCTAAAATCTTACAGTTGTCAAAGCTATTAAGTTACATACCTTATTTTCTTGGCCCCATTGCCAGATGCTAGGAGCCTGCATGCCAAAGAAAGCAAAAGGATCCTTGCCAACAATTATTAAGCCTATTAAAACTAGTTTGAAGATTGACAGGAAAGATGCTATGTGTCTATCAAGAGAAAAGAAAAATTCATCAGAAGCTGCAAATTCTCATTTACTTCAAAATTTCATTAACTCAAATGTATGTGTACAGACATTTTTAGACACCAAATCTAAAAGTTATTAATTATAACTAGTGAAAAAAATAGTGACTAGTTTATTGACCAGTTTTAAAATAAAAATGTTATGTATTTTAAATCAATCAAAAATTAACTTATAAGATTACATATACTATTATTTTAACAGTACAGAATTTTATGCCATTGACTATAAAAATTTGGGAGTTTGTGGTCTATCTACACAATAACAATTACAGAAAAACACATCTTTTGAAAAGTTGCCATCTAGAAAATGATTCTCCTCTTCTCCTTTCCACAGAAAAATTCTAAATTTGCTTTTTATGACCGTGTTCTCTGTGTATTGTTACAACAAACTAAGAAATGATAATAACCAATAAATTTAATTGAACCAATTCACAAAAGTTTATAAAGTCAAATTCTTTTCCTCCTAAGTCACTAAAATTTACTTACCTATATATTGGTTGAGGGAGGTAATTCTCTCCTTCAATGCGGATGTCTGGGTACCGCTGGCTAATAACCCGCATGTACTCCTCAAACACCCGCCTATAACCTCAGGAAACACTGCAGAAAAACAAAAGTGCTACCTGTTAAGTGATTTAAAATATGCCAAGATTGCTTTTGCAGTTGGACAAAGCCTAAAATTACCAAGATTAAAAATGTTTCTCAAAAACAGTCACAAATTAATAATGATTGATGCTGGATAATGGGCATAGAGGGTTTTTTTTTTTCCCACAAACTTCACATATTTAAGTTACCTCACCCTCAAGTAAACCCTTCCGTTAGTATATTACACTTTAGAGATTTGGGTTACTGTTGATCAACAGCAAATACCTACTCACATATGTCAGTGCATCTTGAGCTCTCAAATCAATTTGGCTTTTTAAAAAAATCAATGACTACATAAACACTGAAATAAAAACAACTCTTATTCATCTGAAATAGGGAATTTCAAAAATGGGGCACACGAAGCTTAAAAAAATACCAAGGCACGAGACATGAAACTCTGATTCTTATTCCCCTTCTGCCACTAACAGGGCAAACATACCTGCTTAATCACAATAAGAGGAACTTAAATAACTTTTAGATCCCTTCTGACTTTAAAATTTGATTCCACTTTGTGAAGGAAAACAAAGATTGGGAAGATAATTTTCAACAATATGATAGTAATCCATATCATTACTCCAGAAATTAAGTCAACAGTACCCAATCATCTTCATTAAAATTTCTGAACTACTAGATTATGGATATGATATATGCTGCCCCAACAAGAAAAGAGGAAGTATGCCACCAGTGCATATATAAGAGGGGAAAAAAGTATACTGATCAAAGGACTGAAGACACAAATAAAAAAATCTCTCATGTTCATGGGTCAGAAGAATTAATATTGTTTAAATGTCCACACTACTCAAAGCCATCTACAGATTCAATGCAATCCCTACCAAAATTCCAATGGCATTTTAACAATCCTAAAATTTTAATGAAACCACAAAAGACCCCAAATAGCCCAAACAATCTTCAAAAAGAAGAACAAAGCTGGAGGCATCGTACTTCCTGATTTCAAATTATATAGCAAAGCCATAGTAATCAAAACAGTATGATATTGGTGTGTTTTCCCTCCTGGATGCACCCCTGCACCTTGCCCTTTACCCCTCTTCTTCCCTCACAGGTGTGCATCTCCTAAATTCTAAGGGTCCCCAAGAGACTTGCAACCAAGAGCAATGGGCGGTAGCAGCTCCTTGGCAGCTCCTCCTAAGCTAAGCCCCTGAACCTGTCTCCAAGGCTGCCTTTTCTCTGCTTTTTCAATGAGATGACAGCAGTCCTGCCTTGGCTCACTTCTTTTCACTGTGACTTTTTATTTCTCAGTGAGCCAAAGCAGTCCCACCTAGGCTCTCTCCTCTTGCTTCTTCTGCCCGAAGCCCTTCCTTGTTTCACTGTTCCCAGCTTTAATAAATGTACTCTCAAAATTAAAAAATTTTTTTTAAAAAAACCACACACACAGTATGGTATTTGCATAAAAACACACAGCTCTAGCCAGTTTGGCTCTGTGGATAGAGCACTGGCCCATGGACTGAAGGGTCCAGGGTTCTATTCTGATCCAGTGCATGTATCTCAGTTGCAGGCTCAATCCCTGGCCCTGGTCAGGGTGCATGCGGGAGGCAACCAATTGATGTCTCTCTTACACCAATGTTTCTGTCTCTCCTCCTCCCTTTCACTCTCTCTAAAAACCAATGGAAAAATATCCTGTGGTGAGGATTAACAAAAAAACAAAAACAGACACACAGATCAATGGAGACAGAACAGAGAGCCAACAAATAAACCCATATATGGTCAATTAATTTAAAACGAAGAAGCCAAGAACATACAACGGGGAAAAGGACAGTCTCTTCTATAATGGTGTTGAGAAAACTGGACAACTAGCTGCATGCAAAGAATTAAACATCATACACAAAAATCAATTCAAAATGAATTATAGACCTGAAACCATAAAATTCTTAAAAGAAAACATAGGAGGGAAAGCTACTTGACAACAGTCCTAGCAATTATTATTTGGATTTGACACCAAAGCAAAGGCATCAAAAGCAAAAATAAACAAGTGGGCCTACGTCAAACTAAAAAGCTTCTGCACAGCAAAGGAATCCATCAACAAAATGAAATGGCAACCTACAGAAAAGGAAAAAATATTTTCAAATTATCTGATAAGAGGTAAACAGCCAAAATATATGAGGATCATACAACTCAATAACAAAGAAATTAGGGAAAAGGCCCTGGTCGGGTGGCTCAGTTGGCTGGAGTGTTGTCCTGTACACCAAAAGGTTGTGGCTTTGATTCCCATTCAGGGCACATACCTAAGTTTTGGGTTCAATACTGATCAGGTGCATACGAGGGGCAACTGATCAATGTTTTCTCTTACACCAATGTTTCTTTCTCGTTCTCTCTCTTTCTCTCTCTCAAATCAATAAAACATAACTTCAAAGTGAGGATTTAAAAAAAAATTGGACAAAGGACTTGAATAAACGGCCAACGTGTACATGAAAAAGTGCTCAATATCACTAAATACGAGGGAAATGCAAATCAAAACCACAATGAGATAGCACATCACATCCTATGTCTATCATCAATAAAGAGGAGATAAGGTTGGAAAGGACGTGGAGAAAAGGGAACCCTGTACACTATTAGTGGGAATGTAAACTGGTGCAGCCACTACAAAACAGTACATAGGTTCCTTAAAATATTAAAAATAGAACTACCATTTCATCAAGTCACCTCACTTCCAGGTATATATTTGAAATAAATGAAATCACCATCTCCAAGGAATATTTGCACTCCCATGTTCATCACAGCATTATTTACAAGTAGAGGCCCCGTGCACGAAATTCGTGCACAAGGGGTGGTCCCCTCAGCCCAGCCTGTACCCTCTCCAATCTGGGACATCCCTATCATAATCCTGCACTACTGGCTCCTAATCGCTCACCGGCCTGCCTGACTGGTCGCCCCTAACTGCCCTTCCCCCGCTGCCAGCCAGGTCGCCCCCAACTGCCCCATCCCTGCTGGCCTGGTTGCTCCTAACTGCCCCTCCCTCGCCAGCCTGGTCACCCCTTACTGCCCCTCCCTACCGGCCTGGTTGCCCCCAATTGTCCCCCCACCAGCCTGGTCACCCCTAACTTCCCCCCCGCCAGTCTAGTCACCCCTCACTGCCCACCATGCCAGCCTAATTGCCCCCAAATGCCCCCCATGCCAAACTGGTTGCCCCCAACTGCACCCCCCCCAACTGCCTGCCCCCCACCGGCCTGGTCACCCCCAACTGCTCCCCCTGCCAGCCTGGTCGCCCCACGCAGCCTGCTTGTTCAGTTGTTTGGTCGTCCCTCACTAACCCCCCTGCCAGTCTGGTCGCCCCACACAGCCTGCTGTTCAGTTGTTTGGTCATCCCTCACTAACCCCCCTGCCAGCCTAGTTGTAGGCAGCCATCTTGTGAGGGTATGAGGGTCAATTTGCATATTGCCTCTTTATTATATAGGATAGCCAAGACATGGAAACAACCATGCCGAATGAATGAATGAAGAAAACATGGCACAAGCCCAGCCCATTGGCTCAGTGGTTGAGCATTAGGAGGTCACTGTTTGATCCCTGGCCAGGGTACATGTCCAATTGTGGGCTTGATTCCCAGCAGGGGGCTTGCAGGAGACAGCCAATCAATGATTCTCTCTCATTACTGATGTTTCTATCTCTCTCTGCCTCCCTCTCTGAAATCAATAAAAAAATATTTTTTAAAAAACATGGTACATATGATACAACGAAATATTATTCAGCCAAAGAAAAAGGAAATACTGTCATTTGGAATACCATGGATGGACCTTGACCATATTACACTAAGTGAAATAAATTAGAGAAACATGGTTATTTTAGATTCCACATATAAGTAAGATCTAAAAAAGTTGAACTCGCCCAATCAGTGTGGTTCGGTGGTTGACCATCAACATATGAACCAGGTCACAGTTCAATTCCTTGTCAGGGCACACACCTGGGTGGCTGTCTTGGTCCCCAGTAGGGGGTGTGCAGAAGGCAGCCGATCCATGAATTCCCTCTCATCACTGATGTTTCTATCTCTCTCCCTCTCCCTTCCTCTCTGAAATCAATAAAAATATTTTTTAAAAAGATAAAAAGTTGAACTCACAGACAGAGTAGATTGGTGGTGGTCAGGTGCTGAGGGTTGGGAAAATGGGGAGATGCTGGTGAAAGGATGAAAACTTCCAGTTTTAAAATGAAAAAATTCTGGGAATCAAATGTACAGCGTGATGACTCTTATGAACAATACTGTACTGTATACTGGAAAGTTGCTGAGAATAGATATTAAATGTTCTCACCATAACAAAGATAATTATGTGAGATGATGATGTGTTCACTAACCTTTTGTAGTAATTGTTTCACAACATACCTTGTGTGTATGTATGTATGTGTGTATATATATATACATATATATATATATATATATATATATATATATCAAATCATCACCTTCAGTATATACAATTTCTATTTGTCAATTACACTTCAATAAAACTGCAAAGGGGAAGGTGGATGGAACCACCATATCAACAGAAGAGCTTACAAATTCAGGTAAGATTGTTAAGTAGTTAAATACATTAAGTTCTAAGTTAAGGAACACATAAATATAAAGCAATGAAGGTACCACTTGATCCAGAGAAAGCAGGATTAGCAATTAAGTTATAGTAAAATAAAACCTCATATGATAGCTTTTTTAATTACACTGCCATCAATGAAAAACACCAAACATCACCATCAACCCAAGAAAAGGGCATCAAGTTTATATCTGACAAGGTGAGACAGTACAACTATCAATAGATCTCAACTTAAGAAACTAATTTTTTAAAAAAGTGAGAAATTTAGTCTTTCTTAACAATTAATACTTTCTCTATATTTAGAATAAAAATTTCATGAAAGATTATGTCACTAAAAAGTAAGAAATTTTTTCAAAGGAAGACAAATCTCTATAGCTAAATTCTTAAAAGAACTTATAAATTTCTAGATATCTTATCTTTACT